AAAGTTTGTTTGTTTTGTTTTTGAATTTCGCGCAAAGCTACACGAGGGCTATCTGCGCTTGTCGTCCCTAATTTAACAGTGTAAGACTAGAGAGAAGGCAGATAGTCAACATCACCCACCGTCAACTTTTGGGCTACTCTTTTTACCAACGAATAATCGGATTGACCGTCACTATATAACGCCCTCACGGCTGAAAGGGCGAGGTTTTCTTCACCAAAAATAGAATATCCGTACATGACATAGAACCTGTTTAATATGAGTTCTACCACACGACTACTCCAATATGTTATTACAAGATCGAATACCTGGAAGTATCGCCATATATCCCATAATTTAAAGTAATATATTACACGTTCAAGTAAGCTTACCGCTTTGTCTCAGCTTAGGCTGCTTTTAGTTTCACCTAGTAATGGATCCAATATATAGTTAAAATCTCCACCCATGATGCTATCATAGGTGCAGTAGAGTGATCAAAGCAAAAGTATTCACTGAACACTGGGCAAAAAAACATGGTTTCCCCCTCATTTTGCAACCTTTTTGACAGTCCGCAGGTTTGTGACCTGTTTGATCACAACGTCTTCAGATGGAAACGGTGGAGATTGTGGCCAGATGGCTTGTGCCTTTAGATCTTGCATACAAACGGATCATGCCTGGATAAGTTTCACATACTTCGCCAGTGGCATCCTCCAGAGGAAATTGGGGAGTGGCTTCGTCATGTCAATGTTTACACGACAGTATTACTCGTTAAAGTTTGCCATACTCACTTAGCACCCCTGAGATATATCCATTTGATGTTTGACCTTGCAGGGAGGAGGGGGAAAACTCATTTTACCATTCAATAGTGAAACTCCTTTCTCAAAAATCTTTATTCGTAATTACTTGAGAAGTAAGTTACTAAGCCTTGTGAACAAGTAACGAATTTTTCTTCTGTTTCGTCATACACCACCCGCTTGTCTTCATTGATATTTCAGGAACTGTGAATAAGACCGAATTTGCTCTCTTCATATAGGCAGGGGCCTAAGTGAGGTATCTCTATAACCAAAAATCAACAACGGTGAGATCTGGAGATTATACCGGTCGTTTGTTTAGAATATGTCCGTTAATGGGTGAGATTTGGAAACTATGCTGGTCGTTTGTTTAGAAAATGTCCGTTAAGGGGTGAGATTTGGAGATTTTGCTAGTCGTTTGTTTAGAAAATGTCCGTTAAGGGGTGAGATTTGGAGATTTTGCTAGTCGTTTGTTTAGAAAATATTCGTTAAGGGTGAGATCTGGAGACTACGTTGGTCGTTTGTTTATAATATGTCGGTTAATGGGTGAGATTTGGAGATTATGCTAGTCGTTTGTTTAGAATATGTCCGTTAATGGGTGATATCTGGAGACTATGCTGGTCGTTTGTTTAGAAGATGTCCGTTAGTGGGTGAGATTTGGAGACTATGCTGGTCGTTTGTTTAGAAAATGTCCGTTAATGGGGTAGAGGCCTATTTTGCACGAAGACTGTTTTATTCATATCTCATTTTCTCTGAAGTGTATGATCGAAAACATGTTCGAAGTTGCATAAACAAACAAATCTTTTAATTCGAGTAAGCTTATAAGCTTTCCATAAACCTCACTGTTTTGGTCCTCTCAGTTCTTCTCTTTCACGTTGATGTTGTCCTAATGTTATAACAGCGTTATTACTATGGCTGTAGTAATGCTACCAGAACAGTTTCAATGTTCAGATATAAAGTAACAGGAGTAGTTCCCAATGGAAGAATAAATCCTGACGTGTTCGATGTAGTTTTTATACTGTTACCAATATAGAATTGTTTTAACATTGGAATCGCCTTTCCCATCATCTCATTACCTCATCTATCAAATATTGATAGCTGTATTATGACCAGTGTTCGAGTTATGGAGGATAGAATAAGCCAACTAACTTAGACGAATTCCCTAACTTACTTTACATAATTAGGAACGTTATTCTAGAAAAAATATTTTTTATTTCTAGAAATGAACGACTTGTTGGATTGAATAGAATAATTCAACGTTATTGGTTTAGAGAGAGAGAGAGAGAAAATGTTACCATTTTTGTACACACAAAGATAAAAGGAAATATAACTTTTTTAATGTACATGTATTATTAGAGTTTATATATGTAAATTATTATATTTGTCATTTGTTGCCAAATAGTTTTCAAAGTATTGATAAATGATGTAAATTTGGTTCAATGTTTTAATCAATTAAATTATATAATTCGATAATGACATGTATTGTAAGATTGGCATAGACTCTTAAGCACAATAAAAAATGGATTTTATTTTTAGTGGGAGCCTTGGATATACGTCAACGAGACTTCTAAACATGACGTCACTATCGATGGACCAATGGCTATTGTTTTAAAGTTTCTAGCCACGTCTATGAACTTTACGTACGTATTCTGTCTTTTTATATATGTACATAAATTTTCAAGTATTTACGATCATGGATGAAGTGACCAAAGCAACAATCTTTTTCACTTTTGTCAGAATCAAAGATATTCAGAGGAACTTTCTTAAGCCTACTCCTAAACAGTTTAATATACCTAACGAACGAAAATCCACGATGATAGATGGATAGAGAGATAGAGTATTTTTGTAAAATTTGAATAATATTTATATATAAATCAAAAATATACAGCATAGAATAGGGAATACAACATTAGAATTTAAATGTATGTTATTATATATAGATATAATATATATGTGTGTGTCTGTGTTAATTTAGATACATGAATCATAAGAGGAAATAGAGAACATTTAAAAGAATAATAATCACATAAAATGTGAATGACCCATATTAGGCACGTTATCAGTTAGTTACTTTACCTACGAATGTCACATTGAATATAATTAGGGATGTACGGGTAGTAAAATTTGGCCGAATACAGGGTCTGGTTACCCGGTCACTAAGCTTCAGTCGGGACCGGGTGTCAACCGGGACCGAGTTCTCCACCCCCCCCCAAAAAAAAACATACAAAAAATTAGAAACAAAAACAAAATTGACGTTTATTAAATTTAACCGAATAATCACCAACAGAACATTCAAATTTTACTTTCAACTTTGAATGCCTAGACCCAACTTCTCAAATCCTAACACCTATTGGTCATAAAAAACCACCTTCCCCAGTAATACATTTCTTAAGCCATGCCTGTTATTAACCCATATTGTTGCTCGGAACACGTTTTTTTTTTTTTTTTTAACTAAACCAATTATTGACTGTAACTTTCAGTACCGCGTTAGTTCTCACAAAGATTAGGGCTTAGATGCCTATCTTCGACATTACCGGTCAGCCAAATACCCGGCCGGGGCCGAATATCTGGGCGGGTACCCGTGCATCCCTAAACATAATTAAAGAGTGGCTTACAAAAAGATCTACGTAGTCAGTTTATCTTGTCTCTGTCTCTTTAGGTACAAGCTGAAAACGTCTCCTGACCACGAATGGGGGATTTTAGCAAATGGAAAATGGACAGGAATGATGGGAATGCTGATTCGAAACGTAAAAGAAAAATGTTTACTTCCTGTAATCGGAAAAATAAATAAGCATAGTGTATAGACTTCAGAGAACTGTATGAATACTCATCTTTCTACTTGCGATCATAAAACCTACCTTTCTATTATTTCAGTTGTTAAGAAATCGGTTTAAACAAATGCTGAGTTTCCATTAAGAAGTTTGTGAAGAACCTGGCCACTATTTACACGAGAAATTTCCTTGTTAGTTCCATATAAGACATTTCATGACAACTGGGTCCTTATATATTATTTTTTTCAAACCTCGTATAAATAAATATTTTGAATCTAGATCAGCATATCGATTGATAGTTTATTAGATTAGAATTCCTTCAAGGTTTATATGGATAGTTATAGTTTCACTAAATCTCATGAAGCTCAAAAACGCTACTTTTTCTTCTCATCTCAGCTAATTCTATGGTTTAAGATAAAATCATTTCATATATTTTAGGTCATTTATTCAACTTTTTCTTCTCATCTCAGCTAATTCTATGGTTTAAGATAAAATCATTTCATATATCTTAGGTCACTTGTTGAACTTTAATTAAAAATACCTAGTTTCGTTTGACTTCATCATGTGTAGATAAGAGTGTATTCAGAATCCTTTTTGCTCTGTTCTCTCACAATAAATGGTCCAGACCATTTAGGTGACAATTTTTTATAAATAATTGTGTAAATTTAGAGTGAAACCTGTCAAACAGAATTAAATTTGTTTAGATACTTTGTTATCATACATAGTCAAGTTGATTTAGTGAACTATTTAGATATAGGGTTAAGGTGCTTTAAGAGTCAGGCCGTTTCGATTGAAGACAGTGGCGTTGGAGAATTTATACATTACGTGTCTCATTAACGTATACTGAGCAAGCATCTTTCACATGATTTGTATTGTAAGCTTTGTATTTTATAGGAGGCTGACGTTGCTTTGGGCCCTTTCGCACTAAATTATGACCGATACAAAGCGGTGGAAGTTACAACACCAGTGATCATGAGTCATACTGCTATTTTGGTGAACTATCAGAAACCAAAACCAGATGCATACTCATACATTTACGCTTTGAACTGGGAGGTAGGTGACTGCGTAAGTGTAGGCGATGCTGCGATAAGGTAAAGTCTCAAATTTCGGGATTAACCTTTTAAATTTATTTAATTAGCATTACAGCTCTTCCCTTTTCATTTTACCATGATTCAGTTCTAAAAATAATTTCATACAAATATCAATCGGCTATAAAAAAAGTTGTTATAAACATCATTTAACGACCAATAATTTAGAAAACAAAACACGAAGAGAGTGAGGTTGTTAAGTTTGTTCTTTTTTGTGTAAATTTACTTAAGAATAACTGTGATCAAATTTTTTATCAAATACTTTTTCACCGACTCTTTAAGGGTTTCCAGTAAGAAGAACATAAGAAGATGTTGATTTCACACTTTCTTTGCTGCATGCCGTTGCCGACGAAACATTTCGCTCAATACTAGAGATCATCAGGTCAGCAAGGCGTGCTGCATACAAGATGCATAGCTGAGTTTAACAGGCTCTTCACGAGCCAATGGGGGAATTTTTGTTAAAAAAAATATACCCCATCCGGATTTTCTTAATTTGACCTGAAATTTTTTTTGTATACGTTTATTGGCTAAAACTAAGGCATTTCTCGCACTTATTTATTCCCGCACGTTGTGGCTGCAAAAAGTGATTTCAAGGGTTAAGGTGACTGAAATCCGTCAACGTATCACGAGCTTAATAGCCAAGCACAAGAAGCATGGGAGTCTCCAAATGACAGGCAGAGGTATTCAGGAACCGTTTAAAACCACCTTGGTAGATATTGTGCAGCAAGCCGAGTACAATATTATGCCTGTTGCTGCTTTCAAAGTGTTCCTGTCTGCTCATCATACTGCTGACTATCGTGATGCTTCGGCCTTCCCTACTGAATCGCAGGTGAAATCGTTCGTATTTCAGTTGAAAGCTAAACATAAAAAAGTGATAGCAGAAGCATAAAAGTTTGGCAATTGCTTACTTAATGATGCTGAGAATGTGGCTTTATTGATATATACTGAATTTACTCCCAGCGGGTAGACCTTAGTACTAGCTGGTATGGAGACTTGAGGATGCTGTATTTCACTTCAAAAAATGATCAATTAACAAACGAAAACTTGACTCGAAGTAGTCTCAAAAAGATATGCCCAAAATCATCCTCTTTAGGAGTTTCCGGATTGAGTTTACTTTTAATATTCAACAAATTTTAGCGTAAAGACACTCCTTAGTTCCTGAGGTACGTGTTAGAATGTATCGTTTTAATCATTCCTACGTCGAAACAGAATGAAGAGATGAGAAATATATTTGTATGTTTGCTGAGAAGCACAAAAGCAACACATGATCTATCTGTTGCTTGCCCAACACTGGTATTAAAACCCGATGTTTAACGTCAGAAACCCTCAGACTTATCACTGAGTTGCTTGGGGGGGGGGGGGCTAAGAAATTTGTTTTTTATTTCTAAGCTGAATAACTAGCACAGGTAATTAACATGGATATTAAAAATGTTTTAATTGCCTTTTCTGAAAGTATACTTTATTGCTTATTTGCATTCTTCTTAATAAAACAGACAATTAATTTCCTTCAGCCGGGAGTACGAAATAAAACGTTAAACAGGTACCAAGCTATAAAAAGTCATATTTTAGCTTGTGGTAAAGCAATTTCTATAATAGCTTTGAACAAAACGTTTTAATAATGGGCAATCCAGCAAAACGGTTTTTGATGATTAGAATGATTAAACTTTAGTTAACTATATTTGAACCTGATTCCTGTTTTCGAGTTAACTTTCGTAAGATTGCTAACACTTTAATTGTTTAAACAAGATTTAGTATGTGATACAAAAATATATGAGTTATTGCGTGTGTCTTTTATTACAGGTTTGGATAGGGTTAATGGTCTCGTTGCTATTGGTTAGCCTAATTTCCTGGGTTTCTGAACATTTTATAAGGGACAGACATAATTCAAGATTTTTGGATCACTTCTGGGTATTTTACGGAAACATGTTTTATCAAGGTAACGATTTTTTTACATTATTTTGAGACTTGAAATGTACTAAAAATAATATCATTAAGTTAATTGTTATTAAAAATCTATAAAAAATTAAATTTATCAATTTGATATGGAATCTCTCATTCTTTGCTAAAATCATCAGATGTGATAAAATCTTTAGTGATTTGTTTACCAAATCAGAGATGAACAGAACAGTCTTTGAGAGCTTTAGCTAATCTTCATTGTTGTTTTTTACTACAGAGACGTCTGTTTTTATTCATTGGGTATGGGTGAACTTTAAAGAAACATTTTCTTTAGATTTACCCACCCATCCACCCACCTCCCTACACACACATATACAAGCGTTGGTTAAGTTATTATGAAAAATGTCTAAATATATTACGTCATGACGGATATAAGGTGAACGACATAATAAAACAGTAAAGGCTCTTTTCTAGGTTCATCTGAAAATCGAAACTTTCACCACCAGAGGGTGATTCGGGCCTTTTGGTGGATGACTTTGATTGTACTAATGCAAAGCTTCAGTGGACAGTTGCTGGCTACGCTAGTTTTAAATAATGATGCTCAAATAGATGACTTGAATGAGTTAGATAGGCTTAACATTTTACCTGTTGTGGAAAAAGGTTCACATGAACACTCAGTCTTCAAGGTAAGTATACTTTATATATTTTATTTTATCAACACGGATAAAATTAGCTTTAAACTGTTTCTTTTGTAAAATTAAGATTTTTTTTTTACGCAAACAACTTGAAAAACATAAATTTAAAGTTTTGTAAACTTTAAACCATAAGATCGTTTACAATCTCTTCTGGAAACATTCAACTTTTTACGATATCTGTGCTTACCTCGGAACCAGTTACCAATATTTCGTTGTGGAATTCAATAAGAATCAGTATAATAATCCTTGTAACCTCTAACAAGAAAACGCGTTTCAATAGTATTCGTCATTAGCCAAGAGGTCCTAGCTGTTATTATCATATGAAATTTAGTAAAAGAAGTTTGTGCGGCCATCTCACACAGATAGCCATTGTGTAGTTTTACGCAATATTCAACAAACAAGTAAACAGCCTTTTGCGGCACAGTATAAATAACGACATGATATACAATATATGGTCGCTAATTTTTCTCTGGGAGTTTTATATTTATATTAATTTGTTAAGCAAAAGCGACAAAAGCTACTTTTAATTTGTAGAAATTTGTTATTTAGCACAAAGCTACACAATGAGCCATCTGTGCTCTGACCACCGCCGGTATTGTAACGGGAGTATTTGTTCATAATGAGCGTATATACGAAGATAATAAACAGTTATTGTAAACGAATGAACTAAAAATACATTTAAATATCGTTAAGTTCTTGCTGGTATGAATGTATGTAACCTATTTCAACGTTCCTGATGTTTATATGACAAAACTTAAAGCAGTACTACTAGGTTCTCGGTAATATAAAGACATCATGGGCAATTTATTCCTACTAGGAAAGATGAAAATTGCATCACTTAAATTCTGCTAAGTTATTTCTAGAATGATGATATTCAACTCAGTTTGCTTCTCCTAGGTTTCCTGTTAGATTAAGATCTTTCTAGAATGATGATATTTAACTCAGTTTCGTTTCTTTCTAGGTTTCTTGATAAAATGAGATTTCACTCGCTTAAATTTTTCAATGTTTTTATTGATATGATGACATTTAATCCAGTTAATTCTATTAGATTCTTAATGGTAAAATAATATTTGGTGTAGTTTATTTATATTCAGTAAAGTGTCATTTCAGTCACTCATCAAACCTTTTAATACATACACTGCTGGAATGATCTTCACGATAAAGCAAAGATCGGCTTGAATCTAAGCATTAGATGATTTTTTTTTTTTTTTGCAGACTGATAACGGTACACTCTATAGAAGACTCTACATGAAAATGTTGGAACAAACAAGCTTGTCTTTTATTCCACCTAAGAACTTAACAGCGGATTCTATTCTTGACTTGATAAAGCAAGGAAAGATTGCTCTAGTCAATGACATGCTGACACTCAAAGCTGCTTTGGCCAAAAGGTTTAACAGTAACCGTGCCTGCGGTTTTTACATCGCGAAAGAAAGATTTTCGACAAATACGTTCGTAATGGTTTTACGAAAAGGTTTGTCAGCCTCATTTTACCAGGAAGTTAACAAACGGTAAGTTGAAGAGTGACCCATATTAACAGTCAAGAAGGTAGATTTATGTGTCGACTGTGAATTGAACGACAGTTGCCTATTAGAGAAACACTTGTAGAAAATATTGGTGGGTAATAATGCTTGGATGGGTAATGAAGAAAGATTTTAATATACGTTTAACATAATAGCAAATGTACAACGTTTCGACAAGGTTTTGTCATCATCCTTATTAGTCTCAAAGCGGGTTCCTCCTCATCGAATATTGGTGAGTATATAATCTACTTATGTAGCTCAAATGTAGAAGACGACGTTTCGAATGTCGTTTCAATATACTTTCTACGAGTGTTTCTCTAACAGGCTGTTGTCGTACATTTCACAGTCAACTCGTTATGAATACTCTGCCTAAATTATCTACCAAATAAGTCAATTTATATCATGAAGAAAAATACCTTTACATATTTACATGAATGGAAATATTTTATTCCATAAAACAGTTCTAAAAACCTGATAAATATCAATCCATAATATCATTACCAATATCCCTAATAATATAAATATTTATAGTGCTAAACATAAACATGGAAATTTTCTTGACACCATGAAATCCATGTTAATATGCTTATATTAACAAAGCTTTTTTATTAAATCAGTAGAGCATCTTCAATACATCGTCTTCTTTAGAGCTATTCCTTTCAAATATTTCTATAATATTGTGGGTCATTTTCTCCGGGAATTAAAATTAAGTATTACACCTCATGTAAGACCCTTAACTGTACCAGAAAGTTCAGGGGTGGGTGTGGCAAAAACCTGAATATGTTAGATTATTGCTTTGAAGATAGTCATCAACGATGTTCTTTAAATATTCATGAGTCAAATGAAAAAAAAAAAAGATAACATTTATTCAAACTAAAAGTTGCGATGACCCATAAACGCTCTAATAATTTGTATTAGTTTTGCTAGTGTAGTAAGTTTTTGTGTGAAGATAAATTTATGTTTTCGTTCCTTTTCAACAAAACAACATGCAAAGCTTATATTGATCGATTACTTGTATTATCTAGAACGACAGCTGCTTAATAATAACTCATGTCACAACGTTCCTCAGCTGCTAGGTTCTCTGTATTCCTTTTCTGTGACACATTTCACTAGTTGGATCTTCTTTTCCTTATTTTTAGTGTGCTACATATTGTAGAGAGCGGTATTGTTGCAGACAGTATTGAAGGCAACGTGAAAGACTACGCCAAATGTCTTGGAACAGAACCTGACCTAAAGCCTCTTTCTGTTGAAGATCTTCGAGGAATATTCATATTGTTGGGTTGTGGATTTTTGATAAGCGGAACTATTTTTGTGGTTGAACTGATCCACCATTTACGACACAGAAAATGAAGGAAACTTGACCAGCTGTAAATTTATCACTTGTTCCTACTGTTGGTTGTTGTGTCAGATATTATAACTAGAAAAACCAATTAGAACGTTTTACAATACGCAAAAATATTATCATTTTCTTTTTATGATTGTAGAAATCACCCATAATATCTGTTTATTATAACTTATCCCTATTGTATCTTCTACAAGCTTTGTTGTAATGATACTTAGGTTAATTTTTCACAATTAAATAAAAATATTATTAACGTAAGTTCACATCTTTGATTTGTTTTAAAAACATATAACACGAGTTTTCAACCAAAAATGTGGAACCCATAGAACAATAGAAAGTGTTTTTCTTTGATTAAACTGTTAGTCGTTTTGAATAATGAAATAATGAATGGATGATGTTCATGGTCTGCCCATCGTGGCTGTTTAGAAAATGCCATATTTTTTTTTTATGGTTGAAATGAACAATATAGTTGCAAGCTTATTTTAAACTTGAATTTAGCAGAAACAGTTGAAAGTATTGAAATTTTGTAAGCATTTGGACTTGTGGTCTTTATTGAAACCTTACGCTGTTACCCAAAAAGAGATTTAAAATCTGTGAAATTCATAACCTATCATACACTAAATGAAAAACAAATGCCCATTTATTATTTTGAAATGGCTTGAATAAGCTTGTTTTTGTATTATGTTATTCTTCAAGGAAATATTCATACAACTCAAACGTTTCTTAGTGTTTAGTTTTCCTTAATTTTCGCTGCAAGAAAGCATGAAGGGGGAGATAATGTGCTATTATAAGATAATACAAGATTATTAAAAATTATTGATTTCAAAATGAAGTGGGAACTTGTGATAAAAATAATGAAATAAGAATTAAAATTTAATCCCTACTTTGACGCCCCCAGTGGCACAGCGGTATGTCTGCGGACTTACAACGCTAGAAACCGGGTTTCGATACCATTGGTGGGCTGAGCACAGATAGCCCATTGTCTAGCTTTGTGCTTAATTCCAAACAAACAAACAAATCTACTTTGGCCTACAGATAAGTGTGTAAAGCTGCCAAAGTAGGGGTTAAATTTTATAAATTTGTGATTGTGGTTTTAATTATTGTTTCATTACTTTTTATAACAGGATTCCTACTTCTTTTTAAAATTAATAGTTTTTAATACTCTTTTTTGTTTACTTTTATGTTATACCCTTATAAGGTATATACTTTACCTTTAGGAATTATCGCGGGTCTATCCATCGATACGTAACGTTGGCTTGAAAAGTACGTGCATGATATGTTTACCATCTATATTATACATGTATATATATATATGTATGTGTGTGTATTTTTATCGGAATATCAAAAGTGGATACCCACAGGCTAGTCTAATAAGCTGAAGAAATTTTGTATATATGCGCATAATATATCGTAACTAATATTTTGAATGGTCGGTGTTTCGTTTAGGAATTCGATAAGGTGGTTTTCGGTGAATTACTTGGAATCCTTGTCGATCCCTACTATTAAGTACTACCGTACTTAAAATAATAACCACATGTCTTGTCATAAAGATAAGCCTATTTCTTCAAGAGAAGTAAAAAGGGAGTTATTCATATAGAGTAACTGTATAAATATACAGATCATATATATAAGTTAGTCAGGTAAAACGGATGATTTATCATACCGGACCAGTCATTTTGACTTCCCATTTAACGGGTTTTACGTTTTGGCTTGATATTGGGGTGTCCAAAAAGAGCTAGCTTTCCATTTAAAGATTATATCTGGTATGCATGGTGGTTCAGTGTTGAAGACATTTCTGTCTGTTTTGTTTCAGCCAATCAAAATAAATATTCGCATTTTGAATTTTCTTAAAATTGGAAAATCTCATTATTTTTGTTGCTGTGAAACGAGCTATATGCTGTGCCCACCAAGGGGAATTGAACCCCTGATTTTAGCGTTGTAAATCCGAAGACAAAGCCACACAATGGGCTATCTGTGCTCTGCCCACTATGGATATCGAAACCCGGTTTCTAGCTTTGTAAATCCGCAGACATACCGCTGTGCCACTGGGGATCCTGTGAAACGAATATGAGACCTAACAAATAAGGTCTCTGAAGTTATATTTCTGTACATCTTCGAAGTTATGAGAATCAAGCATTACTTAGCATATTTGTTTAATATCTTTTGATTAATTTCTATACATTTTGACTCTAATATAAAGTTTACAAGAGAGCCCCCCCCCCTTCCAGTAGTAAGCTTGAAGGCTTATTCGCTTATTCGCGAAAAATCGAGGTTCTGTACTTTTGGTGAGCACAGCGCAGATAGATCAATGTATAACGCGTTATACAATGATCTATCTGCGCTGTGCCCACCAAAAGTATAGATATCTGATACATAATAAAGGACGCCTTTCTCTTACAAAATAAGTTTATTTTTGTGTTTTTAGCGCAATTGCGCTGTAAACTCAAAAAATAAAATTCCTTTATAAGAGAAGGGAGTTGTTTATCATATATCTTAGGCACAGGTATCGAAACCCAGTATCTAACGTTGTAAGTCCGCAGACATACCGCTGTGCCACGTGGGGGGGGGGGGAGGGCTTCACAGTATGATAGCTCTATTGTATTGCATGACAATACACTTAAAATGTTTAAAATGATGTTAAAAATACTTTTAATTGAATACAACTGTCAAACAATAACAACATATTTATTAGTAGCTTGTCAACTTACACACACTTATATACTAATCACTATTTTATTAGATATCTAAAACATTCATGCAGTAATCGATAATTCTGATCGATTATCATATCGTAAAGAATTGTTGAACACAACATTTCTTTCACGAGTAAAATTCATAACTATCAGCATTCTAAAATATAATTATGTAGCCATTTTCGATCTCAACTTAATGATAAAATTTACCTTTCCAAGTAGCTTGTTAAAAAGCGCTTTCTATTCATGAATTCTTCAGTATTTTAGGTAATTTTGGAGGTATATTGTGCAATGTTAAATAATGTTCAACTGTGCATAGCAGGTTTGATTACCTTGTCATATGTCTTTTGCATGTTAATCGATTTAGTGGTTCCCGACTGTTTTAGCAACGTATATATTAATCATGTCCATTACAAATGGTCTTATAAAATATAATTCTGTTGTTATAAGTGTGGTACGTAGGCAACTTACATATTTCACGCTTTTTTACTTAAATATACTTGACATAAAATGTTGCACAATTTTTCCTACATACAAGTAAGTGTATGTAGTTGTAGCAGTAAAAATTGGTCAAAGAAAAAACTAAGTTTTTTCGCCCTATTTACCTACTGAACGGGTCATTACCTTAGGATTTATAATGAGCCTTTTAGTGGGAAAGATTTCTCTAAAGGAGAATATACTATGTGAAAGTAGTCAGCGATCTTTTGCACTGGCAGGACAGATACAACCTCTCTTATTTTTGAATGGGAATGACCAACAGTTACGTGGTTAGTGCACACGGTCTGGGAAAGAAAAGCGTTATTGTTCTGTGTATAATGCTATGTTTTCTCAGTCTATGTTTTCTACAGATTATTCTCATTATTGAGAGCTGTTAAACGTCCAGTAAATGGGCCGTAAATACGTTAATGTTGACATTTTGTTTGTGTTTGGTGAAATAAAGACGGTTTTACACTGTTTCACACCAAGGTTAACCTCTTTCTTTGCTAAACTTAATGAAAAGTCAGAGGTTTCAAATTCACTATCGCAAAATATTTTCTATCGCATATCCAGTTATTTTGCAAAACGTACCTATTATTCTAAAGAAAACCAATGCAACTGAGAATACCACATACATATAGAAATTAATATTAATCTTGTGACGTCCATCTGTATTTTGTTGCAGAGGAAGGCGATCTAAATTATTAAGACCTTACAAACGCTTTCGTTAATTGTTTAAAACATCATCTTATGAAACCCATTCTAGCTTGCAAGATGGAAATTTATTGTTTTTCATTTGAAATACTTTCCTACTACTAACTTTATGTGCTAGATGTGATACCTTTCACTTGCAAAAAAGTTAATTGGAATATTTTAGGATATACAAGTTGATTATTTGATTTCATTTTTAATGACTTTGAAGATTACTATGTGTTTCAAACTATTTATTATGTCTTACATCCATTGCATCATCGATACGATACTTAACTTAAAGTTTCGCAGTGAGACACAGATATTGTTAACGTATATATATTTTTAATGAAAGGTGCCTACTATTAAAGAACTATAATATTAAATTATCGGTAAAAGCTGTAATTTTTTCATTATGAAACAAGGAACGGTTTGTATCTGTAGTTTATTGCACATACCAGCTGATGTTATTAATTTGTGGTGTCATTCAATATTATTCAACATAGTTGCATGCTTCTGGCTTATGTGTTATATGTTAAATATTAACACGATGTTGATTTTGAAGAAAAACAAATGTTCGAGATGTCGCAAGAAATAGAACACAATAAACTAACCAACAGTTTTACTCTACTTCTATAACATTGATGAAGTGATTCAGTTATTTGAGTATTTATTGACAAATGGAGTAAGAAAGAAATATTTATTAGTCAGTAAATACATATTACCCATATGTCACTATGTTATTTTCTCGTATCTTAGGCACAGCAATAATGCAGTAGTCCAAATAAACGGTTTACACTCAGAATAACTGCAGGAAATGTACATATATCCAGTCTTAGGTTATTTCACTAAGGAAAGTACTTAATCTCATGGAAATTTCACTAGATTAATGGCGAAATTCTCAATTAAAAATACCCCATTCCTTTTTAGCAAATCACTTCATATTTTTCAGCCTACGATTATTTATATATATATATATATTTTCCAAAAGGGCCTGATGTTACGTAAGAGTTAAAAAAAAAAGTGCACTCGTTTGAATAGAAGTGCAAACTATTATTATTCTAAGAAGCGTGCAATTAGGTAGGAAGAGAAAGAACGGATTAAAAGGAAAAAATATGTGTCAGTCCATAAAATGTTTCCACACAGAG